GGTATGGTAGAGACGACAGAGGTAAATTTAAACAGGAGATGGCAGCAGCATCTGCGCCTGCCAACCCGCCTGCTGAGCGTGGTAACTGTGGCGAAATCTTTCCTAAGAGGAAATCTTTCGGAGAGTTCTTCAGCAGCGAACTATGTAGTATTGTATGTATGTAGCTGTAATAGATGGATGACATATTAATCTAAATACAAAAGAAATTAAACTGTTTCAATAGCAAATCGCAATCGGTTTTCAAATATTGAAGTTCCTCACTAATTTTGTCGTCACTCGACTTCTACCGTCCTAGACAAAAGTCTCTTGGGCCTGAGTCTAAGTTGAGTGCACATAATCATCAGGTAGCATATTATAATCATTGATCTAGTCCTATAATAAAGTGGTGTTCAATTGTCAGGGCCACTTAAGGAACTGTCTTCAGAGATTGAATGATAAAAAACACGAGTTTCTGTAAAATGTTTATTTAGTCACTATAAACACTGATAATATTTTCTTTAGAGTATAATTGTTACAATCGAGCACACAGTCTACCCGATGGTAACTGGTTACTGTGGCCAATAGAAATCTACATCTATCCCCGATTACGAATCAAAACGCAGATGCGCTACCACTCATGAGGACTAAGAAGATGGAATGCCTCGTTTGCAGTTGTGGCCGTGGTAGGAAAAGGGGAGATCTCCCGCTGGGCAAGGTGTTCTGCCCGGGGAGCGGCCAACACTCCGTGTGATAGTTCGGAGAAGTTCTATATATATACTGTTTATGATTCGGAATGTTGATAGCGTGATTTAGGCTTCGGTGCATTTCGCTTGTGGCGCGACGACAGCGCCGCTACATCACCCGCCTGCTCAGACCGGAGGTCGATAGTACAGTCAAGTTGTCGACGAATGTGCAAGTGCCAGGAAATTGCCTTGTAGTCTGCGGTGAGTCGAGAAGAAGGCAAGTAATCTGCGAGAGTGCCGTGAAGCAGAGGCGAGCAGTAAGGCTCAGAGCCGTGCCGAACACTGTATGGCGCAGAGAGTAGCTTGAAGGAACAGGAGGCATTATTATTCCAGTGCTGCGATAAACCTTGTGAAGCTAGATGGCTTGCAGGATATGAAGACTGCAGACGATATCTGCTTGGGAGCGAATGGGTGGGGTATTCTATGACGATGATGAAGCTTGAAGTTTCCGAAGGTTGTTGGTTGCGTGTTTATATCACGTCGGGGTCACCACTGTAGCCGGTGAGGAAGGAAAAGGGGAGATCTCCCGCCGGGCAAGGTGTTATACCCGGGGAGCGGCCAACACTCCGAGTGATATTTCTGAGAAGTTCTATATATATACTGTTTATGATTCGGAATGTTGATAGCGTGATTTAGGCTTCGGTGCATTTCGCTTGTGGCGCGACGACAGCGCCGCTACATCACCCGCCTGCTCAGACCGGAGGTCGATAGTGCAGTCGAGTTGTCGACGAATGTGCAAGTGCCAGGAAATTGCCTTGTAGTCTGCGGTGAGTCGAGAAGAAGGCAAGTAATCTGCGAGAGTGCCGTGAAGCAGAGGCGAGCAGTAAGGCTCAGAGCCGTGCCGAACACTGTATGGCGCAGAGAGTAGCTTGAAGGAACAGGAGGCATTATTATTCCAGTGCTGCGATAAACCTTGTGAAGCTAGATGGCTTGCAGGATATGAAGACTGCAGACGATATCTGCTTGGGAGCGAATGGGTGGGGTATTCTATGACGATGATGAAGCTTGAAGTTTCCGAAGGTTGTTGGTTGCGTGTTTATATCACGTCGGGGTCACCACTGTGGCCGGTGACGAAGGAAAAGGGGAGATCTCCCGCCGGGCAAGGTGTTATGCCCGGGGAGCGGCCAACACTCCGAGTGATATTTCTGAGAAGTTCTATATATATACTGTTTATGATTCGGAATGTTGATAGCGTGATTTAGGCTTCGGTGCATTTCGCTTGTGGCGCGACGACCGCGCCGCTACAGCAGTAAAACGGGTCTGTGGTTCTCTACACTCATCATACGAAACACAGCAGCATTGAGCTAATATTTTACGCTGGTATTCTGTGAGAGCGTGGTCCTACTCCGGTCAAGTCATTCGTGCTACGACTGTGCTACTAATATAGCTGCAGCATGGCTTATTCATGTAATAACATTTGTACAATGCCAATTAATAAAAAAACAACAAGTGCAGGCACAATTTAAAAACAAAAATAATTTAAATAAAAATAAACATTAACGCGGTAGCTAGTAAAATTCACAGTACGCATGCAATCCTGGTTACTGATGTACGACGGGCTCGACGGTGAAGGATGTCGCCCTTTGCCGCCCTTACATCCAAAAACTGTTGTCAAGCTACACTCACTGCTGTTATCTGGTTTAATGATGAGAAAATCTTACATAATCTAATACATAAACATTAATGTTTGTTTGTTCGTATTTCATACACGGCCATACCGTTCATAAGATTGCCATAAAACTTTGTCAACTTATTGCTGGCGCTTATTCGAAGGTTATAGACGTAGTACAATTAAATTACAGTAGATGGCGCGCGTATCGTACCGACTTTGAAAGTTGTATATTATTCAACTTAAATGAATGTATTATCATTGGCTGCGTTTGGCAGAAAAAGCGCTAGGAAGCGCTTGTAAGCAAAATGGCGATCGTAAGCGGTAAGCGCTGTCAAATCGTAAGTAGCTATTTTCCTCTAGGACACGAAGTTAGCTTTAATCGGGGAACCTAAACTAATTTAAATATATATTTGTAAAGTATTCATATTAAAAACTTACCAATCATGAATTTTTAATAACATGTATAATGTGTTTATTCATGTCATTATATTACTTGAAACTAATATTGCAAAAAACAACTTATAAACTCTACTTCAAAATGAACAAAGTAAATAAGCAAAATGGCGGATTGTGTCAGCGCTACTGAAGTTAGCAAACGTGTCCTGGCCGAAAACTGTTTAGTTTCGCCATTTTGCTTACAAGCGCTTCCTAGCGCTTTTTTCTGCCAAACGCAGCCATTCCTAACTAAACAATATAACCCTTCCAAATTTAAAACGATATTTCCACAATTATTTCTTCTGCGGCAGCTACGCGCCTAGTATCAGCTAGTATGATATGAATACCGACTGAGCTATTTCATCTTAGTTTTCAAGAGTCGTGAGTCATGACGCATAATATGTAAAATTGTTTTTTTGGATAAAACCGAAGTGACAACGAATTTACATTTTACCTGATGGTAAGAGATATCTGCAGTCGCTGGACACACGCAGCTAACTTCAAACTAAGAAAGCTTTTTTTTTAAACGTTACCGTCACTAGGATTTTCTCCTGTATCGTGGGAACGGTTTACAAACATAAGTTTTACAAGGACAAACATCCAGACCCGGAACAATTACTTGTAGGCCATAAAATACTTGTTCCGTGCGGGATTCGAACCCGCGGCTCTCAGCGCTGTAACTCATTGCTAAGCCACTGCGCCACGGAGCCGTCAAAATATGGTATGCCTCACAGCCTGTTTTATACCTACTGGCTCTATACTGTTCCGATCGGAACGCAGCGGAGCTCGCACTGGTACCTTCGCGGACTTCTGTATGGAAAAGTAGTCCAAACATTTTGTAAAAGTCGTTAGGTTGGTTTCAGTTGCAGGATGCAGGTTTTCTCGTAATACACCAACCAATGGACCATTAGCGTATTTCAGTTCAGTAATATACTTAATTTATGTAATGATTTCTTATATTTACGCGAACACTACACATTTAAATAATACAAGCTTTTACGAATTTTTTCGCGTATATTAACTTATTTACTCGTATATACGCGACGTTTCGAGTATTTTACATCACCCATGGTCACGTAGTGGGGGGGGGGCACTCATACTTAATTTGTTTTTTCATAAAATAATCGTGACAAACATAGATGACAAACTTGTGGCCCACGGACATCTACATTTATCATCAACTAAGAATAATGAGGAATAAGATGGAAAGCCTCGTTTCCAGCAAAAAAAGTCTCCTGTTCTCTACACTTACCACATGAAACACTTCAGCTTTAAGCTGCTATTTAACTAACATGGCTTTACCACGTTTAAAAAACGCTACTTTTAAAATTATAACACTTGGTTACTAAAGTACTGAATTGAATAATGTCGTAATTAAGTTATTTTATTATAGTCTCTGCAACGTATTTACAAGTTCATTGACCGCTTTATTTCTAAATGAGTAAAGTCATTACGAGGAGCCATTTTTATAATTACCTTTACTTCACAACATATCTTTATGTAAGTACACACTTAAGTTTTGCGGACGGATTTGGTAATTTTTTAATTAATTTTAGTTTACTCATTACCTGAGAAAGAAAGAACAACTTACCAAATCGAAATATAAGAAGCAGGCATTTAATTCGAATAAAATTTTAAGCCGCTACCTATCGGAACCATGTAATGGTAGTGTAAGATTATCCACTACCCCGTATTATCCTATGGGTGTCGTAAAAAATGACAGAGGGAATCAAATTAGGGGAAGAGGGGGCATGACGGGGCCGCGAGGTAAGACGGGGTACCGCACACATACAAGAAACTAGATGTTTGTGAATAGAAAGCAATAAGCCAATAGGAATCCTCAGTCGACCAACGGTCAGTGCGAGAGAAACTGTGAGTGTTAGTGCACGCGTCTTTTGTTTACAAACCAAAAACTGTTTTAACGTTTCGTCGATCTAATTTTGTGTAAAGTCAAACAACATTATTTTAAGGTAATTATGATCACTCCATTTATGTATTTTTGATATTTGTTTACTTGTGTTGCTTATTTTGATATTGTATATTGTTTATATGAATCCGTTAAACGTTTTATTAGTAAATTTTTTTTTTTATTCAAAGTGAACGTTTGAGGCAAGATGGGGTATTGGGTGTGGGGTATAATAGGGCATTGGGGCAAAATGAGTTTGTGGATCTGGGTTCATTTAAATTTCTATATAAATAACATTGGTTTATTATTTTTTTTAGCTAAAATCATGGTACGTACTTACAAGAAAAAAACCAAAAGAGGAGAGTGGTCGACAGATGCTATGAAAACAGCTATAGATAAAGTTTTAAGCAAAGAGATGGGATATAAAAAGGCTGCTTCTGCATACACAGTGCCTCAGACTACTTTAGAGCGATATATTAAAAAAATGAAGAAAGGCGGTGAAGTTACTATTGGTTTACCTTTAGGCCCGAAAAAAACTATATTTACACCTAAAGAAGAAGACGAAATAGAAGCTTATCTGAAATATATGGAAGAGCGTCTTTTTGGACTAACAACTATCGAACTGAGACGTCTAGCATATCAATTATCAGTTAAAAATGGAAAAGCACATAATTTTAATACTGACAAGAAAATGGCAGGTGTTGATTGGCTCAAAGGTTTTTTAAAACGTCATCAAAATTTGTCAATTCGCAAACCTGAAGCCACGTCAGCAGCTAGAGCAATGGGATTCAACAAAGTGGCCGTAAGTAAATTCTATCAGTTGCTCGGATATATCTATGATAAGTTCGAATTGACCCCTGACAAAATATATAACTGCGATGAAACTGGAATTTCCGTTGTTTCTAAAACTAAAAGCAAAATATTAGCTATGAAAGGACGAAAACAAGTGGGTTCGTTATCATCTGCTGAACGAGGACAGACTATAACAGTAGAAATATGTTTTAACGCTGCTGGAATCTACATGCCTCCACTGATGATTTTTCCGAGACAACGAATGAAACCAGAACTTTTAGATCGTGCTCCACCAGGTACTATAGCAGTTTGCAATCCTCGAGGCTGGATAACTTCAGAAATATTTTTGACTTGGTTCAAAAACTTCATCAAATTTTCCGGAGCTACTCCTACTAATCACATATTGCTGCTTCTGGATGGTCATGTTAGTCACACTAAAAATTTAGAAGTGATTGAACTTTCTCGTTGAAAAGGAGTAATTATACTTTGATTCCCTCTTCTCTGCACACATAAAATGCAGCCTGCCGACGTTGCATTTATGAAGTCACTCAGCACTTATTACGATCATGCTGTCACAAGTTGGTTGAGATCACATCCTGGACGGGTGGTAACTGTATTTCAGATAAGTGAAATATTTGGTAACGCATACGTTCAGGCGGCTACAATGTCTACCGCCATTAACGGATTCAGAAAATGTGGTATATGGCCATATAATCAAAATAATTTTACCGACGCCGATTTCATTTCTGCTGAGACTACGAACATACAAAATATTGCAGACTCGTCGAAAGTAGAACCACAAAGGGTATCAGAAGCCGAAGGTATCTGGAACAGTACCATGTCTGTCTTTAACAACAACAGTCACAACTGTATCTTCAACGGCCACGATATCTTCTCATACTGAAACTCTTGCAACATTACCTGAAGCTACAACGACATCTTCCACTCCACCTAGAACAGAGTTAATCGCCGAATGCTACGAAGCACTCACACCGACAGTGGTTAAAACACCCGTCCTCGAACCTGAACCTGGATGTTCTTATTCTCCTAAACCAGCCATTCGTGCAGCGTGCCGCGATTTAACGTCTAGCTTCGAAAATGCATCCCCTAGTGATATTTTGCCAATTCCTTCTGTTCAACGAACTAAAAATAGGAAACAAAACCGGCGAGGAAAAACAGCCATAATTACCTCAACTCCTTATAAAAATGAGCTAGAAAATTTGAAAAAGCCGGGGAAAACATCCAATCCTAATGATCCTCGCCTCAAAAGGAATGCTAAAAATAAACAAAAGACTAAACAGTCAGACAAAACACAAAAAGTGCAATGATGAAGATGTCATTTGCTTATATTGTAATGATGTAAACCACAGTTTTTTGACATCGTTAGAACCTTGGGTAGCCTGCCAGCTCTGTGGACGTTGGGCTCACAATGCTTGTGCTGGCGTGGACAATGAAGACCTGGAAGAAATACACATTTGTTTGTTTTGTGAGAATAATTAGCCTTCCCCATCATTTCCCGATTTCATTACCCCATCATACCCCATGGTACGGGGCAAGATGGTTTTTTATAATTTTCGTATTAATGATTAATTATTTTAAAATATAATAAGTTGATTTTCCAATGACTGTACCAAATCATAGTTAGATTAATGACATAACATGCCATAAAGTAATAAGAGTAATAAATTAATATAGTGATTATGCTGTATTTTTGTTATTTACCATAGCTACCTCATCATGCCCCCCCCTTCCCCTACGACTAAAAATAAAAATCTGCTGTTGTAAACCCGCTTGCCAAGCGTGGAAAACATGGCAAATATCCCCCCATGTTGCAATCTACGGGGTGGCCTATGTTCAGCAGTGGAATTTGATAGGTTGTAACGGTAACGAAACAGAATAGAAAAGAATGTTTTTTATTCAATATTGATTTTTATTTAATAATTATTGGGTAATTTTTTTATTTACCACTGGTTCGAAACAAATTCTTCTGTCCTGGGAAGAACTAAAAAGAAACCCAGCGAGATTGTATTTTTTTTAATATGTAGTATATACAGTACGTATATATCTTTACAATAATTTTATACAACTCTTTAAATGATTTTTTATAGAACTAGCTGGCGATAACATCATCCCAGGGGTTATTTTCATTAGTGTATTCCTTGATATTGTTACGAGCTTGAGGTTCGTGACAATAAAAATTGCCGATAGAATTACCTAAATTAACACTTTAATTCACTTTACACTAATTAAAGTTAATAAAAAAACACTAATAATAAAAAAACACTAATAATTAATCACACTGATTCACTTTATTCCGCTCCGAAGCTTGGCTTGTCTCGCCAACTTCAATACTTCCCGATCGCATCTTGCAGCGCCTATTTATATAAATTAGCAGCGAAATATCCAGAATATTCAAGTAAATACGCGCAAGGTACCGAGAGTTCGTGTTTCTACTTCAAGAAGTTTAGTTCTTCGGTTCGAGACTAGATGGCGCTAGTGCCGTCGACTTGAGCGCGTAACAATATTATAATAACACTTTTTGTACAATATTTCTTTGAAAATACTTTTTACCGTGTAAGAGTATCCACTACCCCATATCGTCTCGCGTGTGTAATAAGAACTGTCAGAGGGATACCGGAACAGGTGATGGGTAGCGGCGTCTTTTGTTTCAGTTTCCCTCTCTTATTGGGGAGGACGAAAACTTTTAAACTTGTTTATTGATAAACTTTGATCATGTTGATAGGAGATCTGTGTATGTTAGAACGTCAGCTCATGGTCACTTAGTATTCTGATTTTATTATCTAATCTAGACCAGATAGGACTAGCAGGTTATGGAATCGAATCTAAATAATATCATTGGCCAATGTGTGGTAGGGCTCTCATACGGGGTTCAGTACACTCTTTATTACCGGTTTCAAGTGTATTATGTCTTTGGTGACAACGCATCTACCCACGGATCCTATCCTGGATGTCCACGGACTACAATAGCCACTTACCATTGGGTGCACTGTTTGTCACCCTGAGTACTATAAAAAATTAATGTGGATCTCTAAGTGGATGCTGTAGCCGCAAAGAATCGAATGCAGATGCTCTGTCACACCAGAAGACCAGTAAAAAGGTTTCCCGTCACCATCATCGTTATTTAACATGCTTAGTTTATCAAACAATTAAGTTTTTATTTAATTTTATTCAACATAACATAAACACTCACGCCTGTCATCCAGAGGGGTAGGCAGAGACTACGAACTTCCATTTGGCACGATCCTGACATACCTGTCTCGCCTCCTTTACATCCATAAGTCTACGCATACATGCTCGTCGGTTAAGGGTACTTCTAATATGGCTCACTTTCAAAATATCGCCGATTTGGTCGATAAACTTTCGTCTAGGGCGTCCCTTCCCAAACCTGCCATTTAAATTCGCCTTGTCACTCTTTCCTCATTCATTCTTTCTACATGACCAAACCACCGAAGCATTCCTTTCTTAATCCTCGTCACAACATCATCTTGCATGCCACATTTTCTCTTATCACACAATTTCTCACCTTTTCATTTAGATTCAACCCTAGCATACTCCTTAAAGACCGCATTTCTACAGCATTAATTCTACTTTTGTGCTTCTTCTGCCACACCCAGCTTTCACTACCATACATTAAAGTTAAAAGTTAAACTTTTCTGATAAATTCTGATTCATAATAGAGTGTAGAGCCCCATTCTCTCTATTTCCTGTTTATATGCTGTAATATATTGCTTGCAAATTCACACATCCACGCCATACTAAAGGATAATATGCAAACTATGTGCAAACGTTGACTTAAAACAATATCATAGACACAACGGGCCCTTACGCAACATCCGGACGTATATAAAAATTAATATCTATGTTGCTACTGGCTCAAGTTTGGACGAGGAACTACGGACTCAGCAGTCATTTTGACTAAAGCAAGTGAAAAGTTACTAGCTATCTAGGGAGGATCTCTTTTTTTCTTGGCTTGCTAGGTACAACTTTCTTAACTATTTCTACCGCAAAATGACAGGGTCTAAAGGGTAAAGATGGCCGCAAAATTACAGTGCATGCATTTCTGTATTCCAGTTACAGGCTGTGGGGGATTCCATCAGTCCTCAGAGGTGACAACAAGTCGACAGTCTTGTTTATGAGCTCAGTCCATGGGCTGCTGTAGCCACATACTATTTAAAAAACTCACATAGAACTCACTTATTCCTACTTTCTCTCATCCGATGGAAAGTCGAAATGATATAATCTGAGGAAGGCTGAAGAACGCTCTAGTAAATTAAATCACACACAACGCTCATAACAGTTTTATTGTACGGACTAAGAGAATACAAAAAGGCATGCGTACGCGCGGACATTTAATATTTTCGAGAGATACGAGCACTCCGAGCCGACCGATCTGAGATAAGAATGCGACAGATTTGTGCGAAACCGAACGCTTGCATCTTGGGAACGAAGCCTACCCCTTTGTTTTGCCGAAGAAATCATAGAGGGGTTTAAAAAATTCTAAATATTAATATTAATACTTAAATAAGTTTAAGTAACCAAACAATGGTTTAATTTTTACGTGGTAGAGCCGTGATACAGTTAGTTATATTTATTCATGCTTTATACATCACCTTATATAAAAAGGTTACAAAAGGTTACTTAAGGCCTTTAAGATGTAAAAGATGTTCGAGTACCAGTCTTTTGAATGGCGTCTTATTAGATGCTTTTAGCTAGATATTATGACTATGGAACGGCTCGTATCTATCAAAGAGCACAGATAAAAAGTTCCTAACGAAACTTGTTACAAGATAATAGACGGTTATTTTGTAACATGCTACTGTAACTGTTATTCCAAAGGAATAGGAAGAGATGGAACAGGTATGTATACTGGTATAACTTTACCTAGTATAGGCTACTGCTATTTCAAGCGAGTGGCGAGAAGAAATCAACCACACTGCTTCACATGCAAGTGCGCGTCCGCGTCGAGACGATATCTATCAGAGAGATGAAACGCAGCCGTTGATTCCTCGTCGGGTGTTAAGAATTTAAAACAGACGTTCTCTGTGACTAGTTGTTACAATCACGATAATTTCTCCTCCGTGTCTAGATTCTTCGGTCTGTAATTAGATAAAAAAACCGTCGTTAAAGACGTGTAGCGACTAAGCAAAAACTCATTTTAATCGAATAAAATGCATATCTTTATGTAACAAAACCCCGTAGTTTCCGTTAGATACGTTATCAGAATTTGTATTCAAACGTATAGAAATAACAATTACTTTTGAAAACTCGAACACCAAAAAAGTAATGATTTCTTAAATACACATTGAATAAATCCGTTTATACTGATTTTATCGCGTTTAATGAACTTATTTTTAAATTATTTTTAATTCTCGACGTTTCGGGTGCTTTACAGCACTCATGTTCACGGTTAGGATTGAGATGTTTGACGTCGCAATGTCATAGTTGGCCCGGATACCTTCAGTTTTCGAAAATAAATTTCTGGGCCGATCTACGCAGTTCGAGCTTACAGTATCTTGAAGTATTGCAGTGGTAGCGGCACTGATAATTTCGGGAATCAAGGAAGTGACACAACATTACTATTTAAAAATGTATTTATTGCTTTTCGAAGTATTCTCCGCGAAATTTCACACATTTTCCATACGATGGAGCCAATCATTGAACCAACCATTCCATTCAGAAGTCGTCCACAGCTTCTTCAGGTGACGAAAATCTCTGTCCACGCAATTTATTCTTTATTTTAGGGAAAGTATAGAAATCATTAGGGCTTAGGTCGGGGCTGTACAGCGGATGGTCTAATAATTCTATGTTTTCTTGCTCTAAAAACTCTTTTGTTCTGTGTGCGGTGTGGAAACTCGCATTGTCGTGATGGAGGATGATGCGGCGGTTGCAGTTCTCTTTACGGAGTTCAGAAACGACCTATGGCAAACAAATGCTAGCATACCATTCTGCATTAACTGTTCTTTGTTCCTCAAGAGTAAGAGTCATAACATGGCCGGTTTTGGAGACAAATGTGGCCACCATTTTTTTAGCAACACTCCGTGAACGAACAATTTTTGTTGGCTTTAACAACATTTTCGAACACCCAAACTCGTGGCTGGTTTTTTGTTTCGGGTTCGTACGTGTATATCCAGGATTCGTCACCTGATACGATGTTGTATACAGCATTTGAGAATCCTGCGTGGAATCTTTCGAGAGTTCTGACGCACCAAGTAACGCGAGCCGCTTTTTGCTCTTCACAGAGCGAATGCGGTATCCATCGGGAAAACAACTTTTTTACACCTAATTGTTCATGCAAGATTATTTGTAT